AATTAAACGTAGTTCACTAAATGAAAGTTCTGCTTATTTGTGGCATAAACGTTTCGGTCATGTATCCAAAGAAAAATTTAAAAGGTTAGTAAAAAATGAGATTCTTCCGAATCTGAATTTTATTGATCTTGATATATGTTTGGATTGCATTAAAGGAAAGCAAACCAGACATACTAAATGTGCCACAAGGAGCACTCAACTTCTTGAAATTATACACACTGATATTTGCGGACCCTTTGATGTTCCATCTTTAGGTGGAGAAAAATATTTTATCACCTTTATCGGTGATTTTACACGTTATGGATTTATCTATTTGTTGAAAGAAAAAAAACTCAAGCAGCGGACGCTCTCAAAGTGTACGTTAATGAGGTTGAAAGACAATTAGACAGAAAAGTGAAAATCATTAGGTCAGATAGATGTGGTGAATATTATGGAAAGTATAACGAATCCGAACAATGTCCAAATCCATTTGCAAAATTCCTTGAGAATGGTGAAGTTAGTGGGAGTGTTGAACGACAAAGTGTGGAAATTAATGAGGTAAGGGTAAATATTTCATTGCCCATGAATGTACCTACTTCCACACCAATCACAAATGTTATTCCTCTTGTTGAAGAACACTTTAACAATGCTGAACAACATTTGGGTGAAACACTTCAAAAAGGAACTAACTCACAAGTATCTGACGCAAATGAACCACAAACAGTGCCATTAAGAAAATCGGCCATTTTAGATGATTTTGTGATTTATTTACAAGAGTCAGATTTTGACATTGAAATTAATAAAGATCCGGTTTCATTTTCACAGGCCATAGAAAGCACTGAGTCTAATAAATGGATTGATGCTATAATGAAGAGTTAAAATTCATGGAATACAACAAAGTCTGGGATCTTGTTCAATTACTAGAAAATTCTAAAAGAATCGGGTGTAGATGGGTCTACAAGACCAAATGCGATTCAAATGGTAATATTGAACAATATAAAGTCAAACTTGTTGCCAAGGGATACACTAAAAAAGACGGCATTGATTATAAAGAGACCTTTTCACCGGTCTCAAAGAAAGACTACATTAAGAATTGTTTTGGCCTTAGTAGCTCATTATGATTTAGAGTTACATCAAATGGATGTGAAAACTATCTTTCTTAATGGAGACCTTGAGGAGGATGTTTATATGGACCAACCAGAAGGTTTCGAAATTAAAGGAAAAGATCAAATGGGTGTGTAAGCTAAAGAAGTCAATATATGGACTCAAACAAGCCTCACGATAATGGTATATAAAGTTTAATGATATCATATCATATTTTGGATTTAAGGAGATTACCGTTGATCGGTGTATATACCAAAAGATCAGTGGGAGTAAGTTTATATTTTCAGTCCTATATGTTGATGACATTTTACTTGCTGCTAATGATTTAGGCATATTGCGTGAGACGAAAAACTTTCTCTCTATGAACTTCGAAATGAAAGATATGGGTGAGGCATCCTATGTGATAGGGATAGAAATATTTCGAGATAGATTACAAGGATTATTGGGACTGTCTCAAAAAGGTTATATC